GGTTTATAGTCACAAGCTATTATTTATCTCTTATATCGAATGTGCTGTGATTTGAATGAATTTCGAATTTTCTCGACCGAGAGTTGCTAAGGGTTTCTTCTCCGATTCATTCAATTTACAAAATTGAAATTACCATGTAAATTACTAAGACTAGAGACGGTAGTAGTCGTTGTGTTTCGTTCTACAGGCAGTAACGTGTGCGCGCGACGAGGGTAGGGAACGAATCGCTTCAATTTAGTGCATTTTCCTTATTTTTTTTTTTTAATTAACTTTTACGCTTTGGTGATAGGGGAAGATTTTTTTAACTCTAAAAAAAGAAATTCATTTTTTTGGCAGTAGCTAGTAGTATTTGGTGATAAGGGAAGATTTCTTTTAACTCCAAAAAAAGAAATTCATTTTTTGGCAGTAGCTAGTAATATTATCGAATCTCTTCGTTATCGAAGAAATTTAACAAAGTTTCATCGAAACTTGAAGAAATATGAATTTCTTTTGTTGCATGGTGCATCGTGAACATTTTAACGTGCGCAATTAAACGTTTGGTTATTTTGCACGAAATATGTTTCGTGAATTTTATGAAATAAAGAATGGGAGATGTTAAAATTTGTTAATCAAGGGATATTATTTCCTTAAGTTTAAATATTTAGAATCGACGATATCTTTCCTTTTTTAAATTGTTCAATCTTTGATCCTATCACCTTGAAAATTGTCCGGATCGTGTTCGTTCGCTTTCGAAATCGCGTTTCCCACTACGCACCTCCGCGAGTACCTGTCTTTCGAATCTTCGTTACGATATAAACATTATTTTACATCATCGAAGGAACGCGGGTACATTCCCATAGTATTCGCCTCGGAACAGAAGCATTATTTCATCGAACGTGCCTCTCTCTGTCACCTAGAAACCATTTCTCATACTCGATGCAATTTTAAATACGTGGAGAAATATGATATCTAAACGATATTCACAAAAGATTGAATTATTTCTATCTAGTTAAAAATTGGATATGAATTATCGAAGTAAGAAACTAAATTTTCTGGAGACTTGCTTTAAATTGTTTCGAGAACGTTATTAAACAATAATTTTTGTATTACAAAGTGTGGACTCTAATTAGAATTGTTTAATTAATTCGCCTTGAGATTTTTACGTACGAAACGATGTTTTATTTCGGTTTAAAGCAAGTTCACAATGACTAGGAAAAAATTTCATTTCTTGATAGTCACTATAGTCAACTTCACATTCGACAGAAAAGATCATCCACTGCCAGCTTTCACTCGATAAAAAAAAAAAAAAAAGAAAAGAAAAGCGACGACAGATTGAGAAAAGTTCGTTCTTCGATGAAACACGAGGAGGCCCAACGAGTCAGCACTCGTAGGCTATTTTTTCAATAACTTCACAACAATAAAAACATAGTATATATATAATATATTCTTCCATATTTATATTTATATTTTTATATTTATATTTATAATATAATTTATATTTAAATATTTTTTTTCTTGTATATAACTATTTAACCCTCGATATAAATACCCTGAAATCTACACTCTCTCATTCTATATAAAACCGAATTCTTCACAAATCTATCCAATTGTTCCTTTTTCTCTCTCCGTCACCACATTTTCCTTCGTTTCATATTTTTCTTGCGGAAAAACGTTCTTTTTCCCTTTCCTAATTTCTTCAATGTTGCCACTTCTCATTTTTATTTTCCGTTCCTTCTACGTGAAAAATCGTTAAACCTACTATTTACAGGAAAACTCATCCCTTTCTTTTCATCGTTTTCCCTTTTTCTTTCTCGCGAAGAAATAAAAGACTGGAACTGTGTTTCTCTGACGACTGGGAGGATAAAAAATGGCGGAACAAGCCGCGTTTTGATTTTTTTTTCTAGCTAGAAATATGGGATGATGCTTGACCTATCGGTTCGCCGAGCTTTTAATCGATTTTCAGAGTTTCGAGTGCCTTATACGCAGTGACAGCGATCCGGCATTGTTTGCTGTAATTATTGAGACATTTCGATGCTTCTGTGTCTAAATATTATGATATATGTGGAAACCTAAAATGTGTAAGCTTCCAATTTTATTCGGAATTGTAGAAGAAGATATAACTTTATTCAGTTCCGGATTTTATTTAAAATCGTATAAAAAATTTATTAATAATTATAAGATTAGTAATTTATCAATAATTAAAGCTTGTTATTCTTGTCGTCTACCATCTTGAAATTGACTAGAGTAGTTAAACAAAAGTAAAATGATTCATATAGAACAAAGTTTCAAGTTATTATAAATTATATTAAATTCGTAACTATACGAAGCTTATTTTATTCAAGATATACTATACGAATCCTTAAGTTCGTAAATATAGTCTAGGTAAGCCTTAGGTTATGTCTAAGACTAATTAAAATTAAGTTCGAGTAAAATGAAGCTTGAATCAGAGATTAGAACTAAGCCAACAAATTAGGTATATTCTACGGTTCGATTAATAATAGTAATTAACACAGGTAATCATAAATTAATTTTTAATTGCATACATAAGATCAGTTGAACTTTGGTTCAAGAATTTCCCAATAATAAACTTAATTTCATTTAAATCGACCAAAACTAATCGGTTCTAAAAAGATAAGTAAACCACAACAAATTTTTCAAACACAGTTAAACGGCACTATATCACAAAACTCGATCGTCAAATGTATCACAAAATTTTATAGACCTTTCATGCGCTCTTAGATACTATAAAGACGAATTTATAAAAACTTTCACAGTTCTTAATAGAACCATACAATCCTTATGATAATTATATATATTATATATATATATATATTAATTAATATTATATAACACAGTATACAGTGAATTAGACATAACAAAGACATCAAAAAGCATCGAGATGCCTCGATTAGTATAAAACCTGTACGCCTAGACACTGGCAACCCGCTCTACTCGCTTGTTTCCATTCATTCGGAGGAAGTCCTCCCTTTCTTTCTCTTTTCTTCTATCTACCTAATAGTTTACAAGTTTATAGCCAACATCGAATTGTCCTCGAGTATTTATATATTTATATATATATGTATACATAACGTATGTATAATATTTATAATATTTATATCCCGTATTTATATCTGTATTTATAGTATGTATATCCAACTATCCAAGTATGTATAGGGAATCGACTAAATTTACGCGATCATAGTACTGCCCCTTATCTCTTTCCTTCGTTCGCATAGTTATTGGCAGGCCCTTATTTAAAATAGCTCCAGGTGAAAAATATCTGTACTTTGTCGAGATTTTGGATCTTTGCGTATTAGATTTGTTTCATTCCAATGTTTTTAAAGTTGCTTCAGTATCGGTGTCGTTCCGTTTGTTTCGTCTACTTGGTTTTATAGGTTAGGAAGTTGATGAGATAATTGATTATCTAACGCTACCTAGCAGCTTCTCCGAGTTCCTTGTTCGAATTCTCTCGATTTATCGATATGTCGTGGTTCTCTTAATAATCTCTTGTCCGTGACCGAGTCAATCCTTTTATTGCTCTGGAGTTTACGTTTTTTTTTTTTTTTTAATTATCGAGTATTTTCTTTGTGATCTTTGGCTTTAATATTTGTGATTTTAATATTTGAACGTTTTGTCACTTGTAAGTTATTAATTTTTTCTAAGGATTGAAAATTTTCAGGTCTTCGTTTTATAATTTTTCATAGTTTTTTTATTTTTTCCAATATTTTCCAATATTTGAGTATCTTCGTTCTTCCCATATGACAAATTATACATGTAAAGGACGAGGAAAAATTTTCTTTCGTTGTTTCTCTTTATAACTCATAAACATCGTTGATTCGATAAAAAGTATCAAATATGTGACTTATAAGAAAAAAATTAATCAGTTCCAAAGCAAAAAATGGACTGAATAGTCACTGTACCGTAACCTTTCCTTCACTCAGCGTCATATGATCTCTGTTGCCAAGTCAATCCTTGTCATCGACTCTTAAATTCACGATCTCCACTTTACATTGCATAAAATACAATGGTTTCGCAATTTTCATTATTTCTATTGATCGGATTATGTATATAGATTCAGTATTAAATCTAACTTAAATCTAACGCAAATTAAATTTAATACTTGAATAGAAACTTACATAAATATATATATATATATAACTGATTAAATTATAACATAAATCTCCTTAAATTTAAACGTCCTGTATCAGTATCTAAAGAAATTAATTCTAGATTAAAAATCAAAATAAATATATTCGTTAAATCTATTTTAATCATAAATGAAATCACAAAATCCATTCAATCCATTCAAACTCGCTTTCGTTTTAAGAGTCGACCAAGGGTAGAAATTCGTAAACCAGAGGATCACGTAAATCGGATCAGATCGGATCAGGAAAAATTCCCACAGTCCGCCTGTATTCTCCTCGTAACAGTGTTACATTAGCTTTCGGAGTGTCTTACGATCCAAAGTCGCCTAATCACCCATATATCAGGGGTAATTCACGAGTGAAAGCCGAGGGGTGGCAAGAACTGAAAGAAAACCACGCGAAAGAAGCCACAGAAGAAGAGAGAAGTCCACATTTACACCTTCGTTCTAGCTCTCACGACGACACAATAATCGTAATAATGGCAGTAATAATAATAATAATCGTTCTGAGCCATTGGTACTCGTGGCGCAGCGAAAAACCTGTTTCTTCGCTATTTTCCTTTCTCTTCGTTATTTTGAAATTTCTACACTCGTACACACGCATACATATCCACGCATACGTCAGAAAAATTTTCTTTCTTTCTCTCTCTCTCTCTCTCTCTCTCTCTCTCTTTCTCTCTTTCTCTCTTTTCGCTCGAGTGCAGTGGAACTTTAATTAAAACGCGTACGATTACAGCTGAAACGTTCCTGTTCCGAGCAAATACACGTTTTCTGTTCGACCTGGAGAACAGCACGCACCACTTCGAACATGGCAGACACGTCCTGGACCTAAATAAGTATCATAAGTTTCTCGTTCTCTCTCACACTCGCTTCTTTCTGTTTTCTCTCGTTTCTTTTTTTTTTTTATTTTTCTCTTTTTTATTTTCTCAGATCTTCGTTTTGCTATCTGGTTCTTTCTCACTCACAAACACGTGGGCTAGTATCACCACTCAGAACGCACACAATATTGGCCCCAGCACCCTTTAGTTCTCGTTTTTTTTTTCGATTATTTTAGCGGTTAGGATTTTTTGCAATTCTTTTTTGTCCTTTTTCGGCGTTTTTGCCGTTCGTGCTTTTTTTTAAAATTGGATTCGCGTGATGCGTTGCACGTTGCATTCGGCCAGGGAGGTTCCTAATTAGCGAGGTTAATTGCGGGAATCGGGTTGCTTGGGAAATTTAGCAATCGAGATTTTTGGAGTTCGAAAGTTTTGCGTGTATTTCGATATTGCTAGGGAAATCGAAAAATCAACCGGAGTGAAATATTTGGAAAAATTTGAAAAAATTGAAATACATTGAAATTCGAATATTATGTAGTTTAAAAAAGAAATTATACTAGTGGACAATAATTAATAATTTTACCCATCTACGGATAGGAAAATAATCTAGAAAAAACACGCTTAACAACATTTCCACTAATCGAAGAATAAGAGAACGTAGATAGTCCAGTCCTAGAGAAACAAAAGAAGAAAAGTTTACAAAAGAGAAGCAAGACGCAAATTCGGTCAAAAACAATTGCTCTGAAAACCTCCCAAGATCCCATCACCCAATTCGGCCATATAAAGAAAACATGTTCGTTTGCAGAAGGGTTCGGTTCTCCCTGACTCTTAAAAGAAGACAATACTTTCCGAAGCAACTACTCCAATAAAACCGAAGCTTCCTTAAGTGAATTTTATATACATGTACACATATCTGTATGTACATCGAAGGTTTGATCCAAGGATCCGCCATGTTCCAAGCAACGACTAGGTTCTCTAACAAGCTTCTTTTTCTCTCCTCTCCTATCTCATTTTTTCTGTCGCGCCTTCTTCTCTGCACGACTCGCACCCACGGACACTTACACGCTATTTACGCTTGATCATTTAGGTTACTTTCTCCCGACACGCATTCCGTGTTCATTCCTTCGTTCGTAAATCGTTCCGCTTAATATATATATATATACTTTGTATTTATATATATATATTTTTTTACTTTGTATTTATATATTTATATTTATATTTATATATATAGAGATTTTTTTTCTTTTTGTTGTTGCTGTTTGTAGTTGCTGTACCGACGACTCGAGTTTTGTGTAGTAGGTTGGTACTACACAGCCGTCACGTGGCCTAGTTCCTTCACTCAGTGGTATCACCTCGCGATGTATCTGCCGAACAAGGTGCCCAGCACTGCCAGGATGTAAACCGAGGCGGAAATCCGGAAGGTCCACGACGTGGCCGTCGAGATGTCGCCGCATTGCGCTGGAAAAATTTGTTTTTGGTTAGTTTCGGTTGGTACTGATGCGCAGAGAGCGGAATTGGAACGATTAAATATGGAATATTTTTGGTTCGAGCTTCAGAGAAATTTTAGGCTTTTCAATTTTTCAAGCTATTTACATAGTTAACAATTTTTTTTTATTTTTCGATGATTCAACTGGTACGGTTTCTGTTTCAATTTGTACAGTTTTTAAATATTGAAATTTTTCAGCATTTTTTATTATTTAATGTTTCAACTAGAAATCTTTTTTTAATCTTCTAATTTTTCTATCGCTTGATTTATCGAAGTCAATCGCCGATTTTCCCGATTCCAGAACGTTCCAATTCTCTTACAACCATATTTCTAACTTTCTAATTTTTCAACCTAACAATTTTTTATCTTTCTGTGTCCCTTTTAATTTTTTAGTTTCAAAATTTTTCAATAATCAAATCTCTACCTGCCAATCTTATCATTCTGTTGAACAATTAATTTCCCCTAGAAATCCCTAATTCCCCAGAATCTCTACCTCCTCATCAATTGGATCCAATTTGAAAGATAAAGTGAATCAACTGTTTAATTAGCACGCAGAGTGACTGGGCGATTCGGACAATACGATCAGCGTCATGGTTCAGACGCGATAATCAGGAACGTCGTTGACAATGCTCACTGTACGACGTGAGGTTGACCTGCCACGACACTGCACGACCATGAGAGGTCCTCGGACAGGAAACAAGATGAACCCGTCACTGAATGTTCGCAACTTCCAGTCGCCATGACAGATATTCAATTTCCTTATTTCTCGATCTTTCAATTTTTTCCAATTTCCCAATACGTTTCGAATTTATATATTTTTTTTAGTACTTATGATGCATTTAACTTTCTGTAGTTTTCAAAATCTTTATAATTTTTCAAATTTCCGATTTCCAAATTGCTTAATTTTTCGTATTTATAACTTCCTAAGTTCCGAAGCTTCCAATTTTCTAATTTTCCAGGTTTCTAATGTTTCATACATTTAATTTCCCAATTTTCCAAGTTAACAACTTTCTAACGTCTTACTTTCCCAATTTTTCGTACTTCGAGTCTACTAACTTTCCGAGATTACAATTTTTCAAGTTCTTCGTTATTTACGTATTAAATTTCCTAATTTCACATGTTCCTGCCTTGCTAATTTCCTTGAAGCTACCATGTACTTGATGTCCTAATGGAAATTTGCGACGTGATAATAAGGAACATGGGTGATAATGCTTACCATACGACGTGAGGTTGACCTGCCATGAAACTACATGACGATGAGAAGCCCTCGGACAGGAAGCAAGATGGCCCGTCACCGAGAGCTCGCGACTTCCTGTCGCCGCTGCAGAAGCACTGTAAACGAGACAGTATCTTCCTTTCTCGGTGCTCGCCACCAAATAGGCTGTGTCGTTCTCGATCCAAGTTCCATGGCACGAATATTCTGAAACAATCCATTTCTCACTCATATACTACTTGTTATCACTGTATAGATAATTCAAATTGAGATGATTAATTCCAAAAATTATTTCAAATATTAATCGAGAATATTCTATAGGTAACATTAACTTTGTTGGAGACTACTTAATTCCTTTTTACTTATAGATTAGATATTTTATCATTTTTAAATCTTCAGTTGAAATTGGGCAGCTAGTTCATTGACACAGTTATTTACCACGTATATCAGAACATTATTTAATTGTATACCGAGAATGAAATAGGCTTCTTTAATATTCAATGTTCAACTGTGAATAATAATTAACGTTAGAGTCACTGGGAAATAAAAACTTTGCAAATTTAAAATTCTACTCGTAGAGTCTGTACGTATATAGAGATTAATTTGTTATAAAATTTCAAGCTAGATTAGAGTTTAATCTACGCAATAATAAATAGTAATATAATATCTAGAAATCCTATAAAACGTATAAAACTGCAAACCATTTGAACCGCAACATCAAACCACAAAGACATCATTATTGGCTGCATGAATCCCTCCGTCAAGGAAACACGCTGTACCATAATATTTAATTATGCTTGGAGCAATCGAAGAACAGGACAAAACGAAGAAAGTGGAATATAAAAAACGATCGAGCGAATGGTTATAGCATGGAAATATTACGTCAGCCGGTAATGTGACCTCATTATCGAGAATCGAAGTATAAAAGCACGATTTCCGAGTAGTTTATCGGTTTCGAACTGTTAAAGGAGAGTAAGAGGGAAAGAAAGGATTCTAGTAGCAACGGAGGAACGTTTATCGTTCTAACGAAAGTACTGAATGGGTAATCACCCATGCAACGATTTTAAGTGTTCGATTTCGTTCACCTTAAGGGTCGTTTCACGACCGAGTTACAAGCTCGACTAAACGGGCAGCGAGGGAAGGTGGGATGAGCGGAGGAAGGTGAAAGGGGAAAGGTAAAAATGGGAGCGATTGAAACGAGCCACCGTAAAAGAAGGAGCAGGTTTAACGTTCGTGAAAAGGGAATTAAATTATCCACGACGACTAACGCTGGCTAAGACCGTTCAATTATGATCAACTATGCGCAATTAGAATTCCTTCGATTATTAAATTTTTACGGTACTCGAGCCTCTATATTCGCTCAGGCAGGCATGGTGGCCCTAACAAATTGTATATTTCCTCATGTTTAATAGCGACCGATTATTCTCCGAATGGGTTAAAGACACACTTGCTATGAATCGTTTAATAATTATTATGGGAAATTGATTATCGATAATTATTTTAATATAATCCATTCTTATTTTTATCTGAAATTCAAGATATTATGTTTCGTGAGGTTTAACGATAGGCGGTGGTTTTCTGAATTGGTTGAGGATAAATTCTATGTTGAGTAGCCTGATAATTGCAATAGATAATTGGTTACTGATAGATAATGGTTTGATATCGATCCACCAATAAAATTTTAATATGGTTTAATGGCTTAATATGCTCATTCTCTTCTCACTACATCTTCAAGAATATTATAGAAATTGTTTAAAAATTCTAAAAGTACACGTATTTGAATATTTTCAATAAAAAGTTATAAAGAAATATAATAAGTAAGATACTTCTTGATTACATAAATAAATGTTACATAAAAATGCCAACACTCGATGTATTGTTACAAGAAAACAGGATTGAACTTATTATGCAACTTAATATTTTTCAATGACTAAAACTCTTGAAATATTTTTCTATCGCGTAACGATACAGATATATTTCTAGAAATTGACAAAGTATCTAAAATTGTTTCATACGACTTGGAATTAACTTGGACGTGTTCAAGGCTGAATCGTTTCGAAGTAATCCTTGAAAAATGGTCCTTGAATGTAGGATGTTCGACAGGGAGACGCGGCTTTTAGAGAAGAGAAAAGGTCGAGTTTCTCTGTGTGTTTGGAGTTTTCGAGGAAGGCGCGAACGGGGACGAAATAAACGAAAGCCGTAAATCGCTTCGACACGTCGATATCTGGCGTGTTGTCTCGGCCCGATACCTTATCGAGGCTGCAAGATAGAAAGATGAGAATTTACAGCGTCCGCGCGACAGTTCGCGTCGGCTGAAAACGGAAATAAACAACGGGAAAATTCAGCGACAGAAAGAACCTACGCCTTTCACCAAATATGCTTTCAAAAGGGATAAAAATCGGAGATGTCAGTCTCCGTGCCCATCTCTGATCCGCAAATGCCGATAAATTCTCTGTTCGATTGCTTCTTTGCATTTAAACGACGTTCAAAAATTGTTTCTCCGCTCCTTTTTCTTAAGAACAAATATCGTACAGAGCATACAATCTTCCAGCATGAGAATTTGTGAAGAATAAAAGATGTAAAATGACAATCAAATATGTTTAGAATGTTAAGTAGTCTTGAGGAAAGATTTTGAAAAAGTTGCATTGAATTTTTAGTCACGTTACGTCTTATTTCATTTATTCTTAGAACAGCACGTAATTTCACTTAATATTGTACGTTTTTAAATGTACTAAAATATTTCTGGAAAAAGTTACGATGTAAGTTGTGATGAAGCTTGTTAAACAGTGTACAATTTTCCTCTTCAATTTTCTTCTTCACTTGGTGCCAAATTACCGTATAATTTATCCTAGCCATTGGAATCAACTCCTATTATTTACTGAAATATTTCATTTCAAACTTAAACACACCAACAAATTATGTTTTCTTTAATTTACACGATGAATATATCCTTACACAACTGACATTATTCTTTTCCAAAGTATTTGATAATCTTAGTGAAGATTCTAGAAAATAATCCACCAAAACCAAGGTTCCTTATCTAAAGAAATTCTATCGTATTCCCTGGCTCTATCTTTCTTAAGAATCCTGGAATTTTCCCTGAAAAGTATCCTGGAGAGATAGAGTATAACGCGTTCTTGAAAACGTACTTTGTTTGAAGTCGATAGCTCAATTCGTTCCCGAGATACAAGGCTTGAAAGTTCGAGCGCTTAAAATAGAAGATGGCGGCGCCTGGTAGCTTTGGTGATTCACTTCATTCCGAGCAACTGCATACCTTGATGCTAGGAATGATAAAAAACATTGCTGACTCAATGTCTCTCACTGACCAGACCACGCGTGGTGGGAAAGGGATAGGTCAGTGGCCGAGTGTGATAAAGATGGAGATAGCGAAATATTAAAAAATTACTCTTCTATTTACACGATGATATCTCAGGAACGGAGCGTCGTATCGACACGATTCAAAAAGCATTTCAAAGGGAAGACCTTACCGCTTCTGAAGATATTAATTAAAATCTGCAGGGACGATGTGGATTCGTGTCACAGAGCAAAGAAAACTGCAATCTTTTAATCTCACTTTAGGGCTCTGGGTTTATGCTAATTTGACTTGGAGTGAATGTTATTGCTTTCAGATGATTAATATGCTGGTATGGCATTTAAATGAGTACAATAACGAGTAATATTAACTTCCATATCTCTGTTAAACATGACAATAAATTATTAGGTAATAAATTATCTATCGTAAGACAGAAATGAATTGCGATCTTTTTCCACGATTATGTGGTAACAAATAACGAGTAAATGATTCTAACGAAAAGTGTAGCAGTATTAAACAATGTATAATTTAATTTCGTAAAATTGCAATTCCTAACCTCTATTTTTAAAGAAAAACTTGTTAGTATCACTTTCTGAACTTTCACAGATGATTAAATCTCAAGTATTTCGCTTCATCCTAACTTCCCCTACTTCATCTTTTTACCTCTGCTTCAATAATCACACTGCTGCCGAACTTCCCATCGATAGTATACACCAGACGGATTGACTCTCTACACCACAGTTCTCTAATTGCGAAACTAGCACATTACAAGCTAGAGCTGATCTCCCAAGTTTCTGAAAGCTAAACTAAAACCTAATCGAACCCGGGTCGGTTTCTACTCGCAAGAATATCAATCTTCGACCTGAAAATGTATCTTCCACTAGACAAACTCGCAAAGAAGATCAAAGATTACGATCGAAAGATATTACAGATATTAGGTTCGCATCGTGATTCTTAATCGACAAAAACACGACGATTCATGAAAGGAAGAGAGAGTTGCAGTGACGTTTCGGTATCAGGAATTATTTTAGCATGGAGCAGAGCGTTGACATAACCGAGGATTTAGGCGGTCGAGCCTCGTATCTTACGACTGTCGACAAGGGGATTGCGTTCCAGGCTGCAGCACCACCCCTCTGTAGACGCGGAACGCGAATTGGTCATTAAGACTTCGTACAAACAGCGATCTTAGCTCCCAGACCCAGAGAGAACATCTCGAAACGTCTCCAGCCAGGCTCCTGGTAACGATCGTTAATTACATCCATTTCCAACGTAGTATTTGTCCGTGTTGGGATTAGAATCTTGTCAAGATTCGCTGTTTAGAATGTTTTATTTGGTTATGGTGTGATAGTTGAGATCTGGAAACTTATGTTTTGTATCGTATATTTACAATAACCAATTAAAAGCCAATTAAAAGGAATCAAAATCACTATGATAAAATAGAACCAATCTGAGAACGTTATCAGATGAAATCCAATTATTCAGTCAAGCTGTGATCTACTGTATAACTCTTCTCTAACATAATATTTTATGTAGAGAACTTTCAGTCTATCTAAACAACTCCTCCTACTGTTTCATTTAACATTTCATGAATAGAAATCTTCCTGCAACCTAACATTACCACAACAGTGGTATTACATCTGTTTCATCCATTGTGCTACTCCAAAGGTAGCAATTAGCTAGGGAATTTTAGATGTCCCTAAACAATCCTTCAAGAACTAGCCCCAAGACCTGCTTCTCTCAATATAACTGTTCAAAGTAACTCACGAGCCCTTCCCCTTACATGTCATCAAATAACAGATCCCACAATAATCTCCTATTCCCTACCTCAAACCCTCAAAAGCCCCTAATCTCGAAATTCATTAATTCGATAAAATCAGACCATTATTGTTCGAAGCAGACAGTGACAGGTTCTCTCCGCAGCTATTCCTGAACGGTCGGTTCTATTTCAAACTCCATTTATTATTCCTAACCTCAAACGCTCAAAAGCCCTTAACCTCAAAATTCATTGGTTCGATAGAATCAGTCTATCATCGCTCGAGCCAAGCAACGACAAGCTTTCTCCGCGACTATTCCTGAAAAGTCGTGCAACCAGTCGTCCCTATCTCTAGCCCAGCCCAGCCAGAGCCCCGGAAGCCTCGAAGCTTGGCGCTGCATCTGTCTTTCAACGCGAGCGGATCCGCGCGCACAGGCACGCGCCATAAACACGTACAGCCGAATAAAGCTACAAACTTTGCACATAAGCAAGCGTGGAGTCACGGCAACCGTCACGCCGCTGACTTCTCCGCAAACTAACTATCGCCACTTGCGATAACTTCACTCCTTCGAAGGGCGAAGAAGGGACGGAAGAGGCTCGAGGTAAATGGGGAAGCGACGAAGACGCGTCTCTTCACGATGGGGGGATAACTCGACCCTGGTGCGGGTAATCCGATAAGATGTTCCTGTTGAAGCTGCTTCCATCCTACGAGGATTCACTCGACCCCCTATGGCGATGCTCCCTGCGAGCACAGTCGATTCTCCAGTGCGAGATACAGGTAAGACGGATGTCAATAGAGACGTGGGTGCCTGTAAGAGCTGTTTCTTCCGTAGTTTTTGAAGAAAGAGAAGTTGCTGACTCACTGATACATCTTTCGAGAACATTGTAACAAGCAGACTGCGAATTACGGTCATGCCAAAATGTGCAGGACGCACATGATATGGGAAAGTATATAGAATATCCAGAATATTGAACTCTTTATGACATTGAGTCGATAAATCAATTTTTTGTTCAAGATCCAGTTTTTTAATTATATCTGTGAGAATATGAATTTGTACATGTTCTGCTCGTAATCTAGCGTCTAGAAAGTATTCAGAATGTACGCGTATAAATGATTTTGAGTTGTGTGGTTGCGTGTTGGAATTTTTGACTGGAACCAAGCGTGACTTAAACTGAATCCAAATTTAAGCTGAACCGAATCTAAAATGGAACCCAAATCTAGTTCAAACATAACATAAATTGAACCCAAAGTTAATCCAAACATAACCTAAATTGAACCCAGGGCTAATCCAAATATTACATAAATTGAATCCAAACTTAATTCAAACCTGGCATAAACTGAATCAAAATCTAACTTAATCTTTATTAAACGAACTGAAGATCAAGCAGAAGATCACTAGAAATTCGCGAAGAGCAGAAAGATCAATAGAAACTCAACGGTCGTCGAAAATAAATTTTCTTTACAAAAGCGTCTTTACAAAATAGCAAATTTTTCTTCTAAGGGAGAAAATTATAGCAAGAGATCTTACCTGGTGGTGTTTCGTCGTTGCACGATGTAGCAAACTCCATACGATCCGGCGTCTTGCAACCGATATCTAGTCGATAGCGACACCGTCCTGGATAAGGTGTCGACGTGACCCTGACATCTTGAACCTCAGCAGCGTTGACCATTGGTTCACCATCCACGCCCAATATGTCCTCCGCTTTGTCGCCATTGTGATTGTGTAGCACAGACACAATTTTGTAGCGGCCAAGGTTGGGGCACTGCTTGGTAATTGGGTCTGGTGCTGGAAAAAATTTATCGATTTCAATTTGCTGCTACTTGGAGCTGCCATTTCTGTTTGTTACGTTAACTGATTTATCTTACTGACCTGTTACTCAACTGAACAACACACGCAAATTGTTCCAATCAATTTTACTCTACTCGCTATTCTCGTAGCTGGCATTTATGTTTGCCAGATTGACTAGAGTACATGAACCGGGTTCATTTACTTTAGTCGAGGTTAGATTACGCCGAGGAAAATATTGTGTTTACAATGGCAGAAATATTTGGCCACCTGACTTGGAAAACAAGTTGACGTATAGAAACTGATTCATTCATTTCCGGCGGAATCAGCCAAGATAGTTCCTAAAATCGTCTCCGTGTAGAAGAATGGGGACGTAGACGCAAACATCGTCGAGACGAAAACGCGGTTGGCACAAGGAGGAAGTTGCGAACGACGGCAGCTTAACAATCGATTCGCCAGCGACTCCTTTACGATCGTGCAAAAGGATCATATGCCGAATCCGTCGTAAACTCAACCCTCGACGGAAGGCAGCACAGTTTCTGTTTAAGCCGATTACGCGATTCTATAACACTGACGAAGACAGGGGTCGTTCCCAAGGACGCGGAATTTATCGTGACGCCATTCAACCCATGTCTAGACCTTCGCCCGAAATTACACCTCCATCGTGTTTACCTTCGTTTGTCCTCCGAATTTTACACACCACTCTTAATAAATCTGATCTATTTATTGTTCGAATGGAAAATTAGAAATTGTAGCTAGGGAATTTCGGATCTATTTAGACAAGCTTTCACGTTTCATCTAAAATTTCATTCGTATCAACTTTTCTATAATTCAATACGAGAAAAGTATTAACTTTTTTTTGTATTCGCATCGTCTATTGTTTTAAACCAAAGTTGTTAGCAATTAGGCACAGGGAATTTCATTACGCTTGGCTAGAGTCAGATTTTGTCGAAAATTTCAAACGCGTCTAATTGAAATACGCTTAGGTTACGAATGAAAATTCCCAATTGTACGATAACAATAAAATGGAAATTTTCAAATGTAAATAACAGGAACAATAAATACATTTACCACGTATTAAATCAATTGCAAAACCTCAATAAAACAACAATAAAAAATGGGAAAATAGCAAATTTGTCTTTCTTTGTAAAACCGAGCGCTTATTTAGCAATTTCAGTAGAAGAGGGACATTTATCCTGGCCGAAAACGTGGCCAGCCATTGTTAAGACGTTATTTATCGATACACGTGTAAAGGATAGGAGGGGAATAGCACGAATTCTCGCGATATAATTTCATCGTGTTTCAAGAGTGCTCCATTGGGAATGCGATATCTTCCCGCGCTTACTGTCATATTTTATATCCTTTCTAGTTCCCTTTTGTTTCTATTCCCCTCCTCCCCCTTTTTGTCTATCCTCTATACCTCCTTTTTTTTTATTTTGTCTTTTGTTTTATTATTTTTTCTCTGGCAAGTTTCGACAGTGAAATATCACTTTTAATTCTAGCAGTCGGCATTTTTATTTTTCAAGCTCAGCAAAACGAGAAACTGCGACCGTGAGCAACGCGTTTTCCCGTTTCCCAAGTCGCAGCCGTAATTAATATCCTGTTCGATCTGTCAATTAGGAGAAACTAGGCTCTCGCCGATAAATAGAAATTTCGATTTCTCGGAAAAAATCAACAGGTCTGTCTTTTTCCAAAAAAAGTGTAAAAAATTCGAGGAGAACTTTCACGTTGATGAATGAACGAATGTTAACGAACGTTTCCTCTGTACTACATAATCGTTGGAAACTTTCTGAGTACTTTCCAATAAAAAGTCATCCAACCTCTATCGAGGTTTGAAATGCTTGAAATATTTGATTAGAAGAAGGTTTAAAAAATTAAGTCCAGATAATAATCGTATAATATAAATTTCCAAAATTTCTTCAGGTTTTTTTGAATTACTGTCGCTGGCAAAGACTCGTACCAAGAAAATGATAACAAACAGAAGAACAATTCTAATTATACAGAAACTTATTTGTAACGAAAGTGTCGAAAATAGCGGCAATCAACGCGAGTAAACGTCGGCGGGGGGCGTTCACACGGCTGAGTGTTAATAAATGATCGTAATTGACTTACTAATGAACGTCGTGTACGGCGTCGAGTGGGAGTTGAACGTACTCGAGTTGCACACGTCGTCGGGCTGCTGGCTCCATTCCGACAGTTGCAATTCTATTATGTGGCTATCCCTTCTGTGAAACATCAGGCACACATAGCCGTTCGTGCTGTAAAAGAAAGAAATCTTTGGTCAGTATGACAGGAATATACATTACGATGTATCATTACATTAATTAATATTATAATATAATACAACTATAACATGACTAATACACTCCTAACGGTATAACAGTAATGTACTATTATCAAAATATGGAAAGAAACGGATTTTTCTGCGGACGCAATTTTTTTAATGAACAATGCATCGTGTCCATTTAGCGGGATTTTATATTTTTTCATTTGAAAAATGATAAAAAAAAAAAAATTATTCCCAAAAGCATACGGGATATAAAATTAGAAATCCAGAATTGTACTTTGCCTAATAACTACCTAACAACTTATCTTAAATACAATTTTCCTGTCCTAATAACTTAACTAGAATCTTCCTGCTGGCTAAAGCAACCCCTATTCAAACTAGGGGGGGAAACGCAGGTGAAATTTACCAACTCGCAGGAGGAAATTAAAAAAAGGGAAACTGGAAACAAAGCTCGAGTGCCAGTGGCGCGCACAATATCGCCGTAATAAAATTACAAGTTAATATAACCCTGGAGGCCACGAATCTGTAAATAGCGGGGGGATGGGGTTGTTCCATGAAAACGAGACACGTATAATAATCGAGCCAGTAAGCCGTAAAAGCCGGCGGTGGACGACAACGGGGGGAGAAATCGGTGGTGGGGATGAAGAGAGGAAAGAAGCGAATGGGCCAGAGGTGGAAAACAAGGGTAAAGGATCTTAAATCTCAGGCTACTTCCGTGGTCGGGCCAGGATTAAGATTTTATTTTATCAGGACGTTTCTTAACGGGGTTGCGTTAACTTTAAGCGTAATCCCTTTACGGCTCGGTCCCCTCTTTTACGACGAAACGGTGAAATCTGTAACTTGCAGCGAGTTCATAACGCGAGACATGCGTTTGGTTCTGCTCTTGTTTATTCTGCGACTTTGTCTAGATGCGAAGAGGTTAAGATTGGCGGTGCAGAAGCTTGGAAATGATTAACTCCTTAATCTACGATTTACGTTTGAGAATTTTGGGCCGAAAACGTAAACAAGCTATTACATATTATATTATATATTATATTTGGCCCGATCATCGTACTACGGGATATGCCCGTAGTTGTAGGTTAAGGGGTTTAAAGGATCAAATTGAATTATTTAATATTACATATGTTATAATATATTACATATGTTGTAACGTATTGTAAAGTCCAGAGAGATTATTCAAAGACGAGCCTTATTATAAGCAACTTCATCGTTAAACCAACTTAAAACCTTGATTAATGTAAGCTGACCTTACATCAATTAAAGAATTAACAAATTTCCATAAATAAGCCATTTTAATAAAAGCAATCTACCAAAAATCCGGCCTTTAGCCATATTTCCCGCGGCTACAACTACAAATACAAAACTACAAATTCCTTCAGCTCTATTTCTCGAAACTCTGCAAACCTGGCAAAGTTCATCCGCGCAGTACCCAAAGAGTATTCTCTTTCAGTTGTTTTATTCAAAGCTTCATCAAACGCGTTCACTTTGTTACAGAGGCGAAGAAGAGGGCGTTAGGTACTCTCGGCTTGCGAGTAACTGCATTTTCCTTACGACCGGCAGCACCATGAAAACGGACATAAAGTGGCGCGTATCGGTACCCAGTAGCACATGAAACTGGTGGCTCGCGATCGAGAACACGTCCCGGATTTTCGGCTTTATATCCCCGACTTCGTTCCTACGGCCGTGTTCCCGTGGATTATTGTCATGGCGACAGATCGCCTTCCGGTTCGTCCACTATACTTCCGTGCGTATGTTAGGAAAACGGGTTTCGGATGATGATCGCGGTCCATTGATTTCTTCTCACCTTTTATTGAGTTTCGCTCGTTGAGTAGCAGCCAGGGGAATACGGAATTGGCGAATCGCTCTTCGAGAGCTGTTTCACCAATGCGATATTGGTGACGGGTTTTCGGTTTCTTTTTATGGCTCGATAACCTAGATTCGCGTAGGATTATTCCCGGGAATAAATTCCATTTATGAGTTTTCCTACGAAATTGTTCTAAATATTTGATATCGGATAAAAATTGCGTCGCTGGTCAGAACTTGACGTTGATGTTTCTTCTATATGAAATATTAAATATCTCTAGGCGTCGATAGAAAATTTCAATTTTTTTGATAATATATCGCGTAGAAAAACTAGGTTGTTTTAAATTTGATCGTGAGGTAACTCCTTTTTAATAAAATTACATTATATATGAAATACAATTTGATGTAAATTTCGTAGCTTATAAATTTGTTTTCTACTGATTTAATTAACGTTATTATTAATATTAATTTTCATCGTAGAATATATCGATATATCGAAAGATATTCATAATTTTTAGTACGTAATCATTAAAATAGACGATTTCTTTAAGAATTCGCTTGGAATAAAGCGTAAACACGAAGAAGTGGAGGTCGCTGGAAGAAAAGTCAATTTAATTAATCGAGTTGCCAAGACGGCCATTTACATTCTAGCTTCCTAGAGTGTATCTAGGTAAGTCTCGAACGGTGTTACCACTCCCTAGGGTGCAATGGCGGCTTCTTACGGGCTTGTGTACATTTTCAAGCCTCTCCTCGAGTAGCAAGCACGAGTGTAACGGGATATAATCCCGTTTTCGCTACCTTTCGTGACTACACTTTGCGCTTTTCGCCTCCTGAAGCCTCCAATACTACCGGATTTCTAAAATTTGCGCGAATCATCGGTAGCCATATTGATATTAACTGTTCCAATATTCAATTTTGAGGTTATCTTCGACGAAGAAATTTTTTCTACGCGAATTCAGTGAATAGAGAACATGGAATAATTATTTTGGAACATTTTAATCAGTTAAGTCAGTCGATTAAAGTAATTTAAAATAATTCGGAAGAAGAAAGGAGGAAATTACTTTCGACGAGATTTTTCTGGGAATCTCGAGCACGGTCATTAATAATACTTTGCTTTAATTAATTAATTCGGTTATTTCGAGTAGCTAGCGTTAACAACGAAGTTTCAACCACCGGAAATTACAATCCACAAACTCCCCCGGTGACTTCATCCCTTATTCGACTCGGTAATCAAACTTGGCTTGCAGGTTTAAAAATTCAAGGCAAATTACCGGAGAAAGGTAAAAAATCTCCAGGAAGGAGAAAGGAATTTGAACCGTTGAAAGACTCGAATCTGCGATCTCAAAATTCGTGTCGGGATTTTTATTTGCCTTCGAATTTCTTAAAAGAAATATTTTATCTTCAAACTTTCCTTAAATGTCGCTATGTACATCGATCGAACGGTGGAATAGAAATCTTTAAAGAAGCATATGAACATTGGAAAACTCGAAATTACAACCCTCCGAACTCGCATCCAATCTTTATTTACCTTCGAATGTCTGGGAAAAAGGATTCGAAAATTAGTACCGTGATAAAACGCGAATAAACCGCACGAGTAAAATTTCTTCCCCTTGATAACGCTCTTTCGAACAAGCAATTCCCATAAAGAAACCACTCCCGATCGTAGCAACAACGATTCCAATAATTTTTTTTTTTCGCTCGCGGGAGCCTCGTAAAAACGGAGGTAAAAATGGTGGGCGAATTCAATCGAAAAACGTCAGCCAAAAATGAAATAAAATTCCCTCTCCCTTGCCCTACCCCAGTCACATATTGTCGTCGTTCCGGCGGGCCTTAAGGAGGTTACCAGATGCAGAAAATCGTCCACGGCTCTTTTCCCGTGGCATCTCCAGTTTCCAATCTAATTTATGTCTGGTCGTTAGACGATTCAATGAAAGGAGCACGCTTATGCGGCCAATTTGACGTGCACCCTTTCCACCTGAGGGCCTTCCACCCTTCTGCAACTCATCGTTCCATCTGTTTTCCTCTCCTCTGGTCTCGTATTCCCTCCAGATGCTCCTCTTCGCCAAGTTCTTCCATTTTCTCCGCTCTCTTTTCCTCTCGTAGTTCTCTTTTTAATTGGAGATTTTATTGTTCAGTGTTGGTATATGGATTTTGGTGGTTCTTTTAGGTTAGGTTTTATTTCAGGTTAAATTATTTCATTCCTTTTTAGTTGGCGGATTTGTTAGGTTAGGATTATTTTATAGGTCGTTTTATTGGATTACCGAAGATTACTTTTCGAGGGGCAAAGTTCCTTACCCAAGTTTATACCTCGTTCAGGCAAAATTCGATATCTCTTATATTTGATATTTGTGGGTCTGATGTAATTAATATTTCGTATTTTACATTCGATATTCGATTATTTGATAGGTTTAATATTCGTTGTTTCTTACATTCGGTATTCGTTACGTGACAAATTTGATATTAGTTACTATTCATCAGCTCATCGCGTAATATTTAGTACGATATCCATCAAAAAGAAAAGATTCACGCACCTCCATAACAAGAGCAATTTACGTATCCTTATATCTCTTCTTATTCTCCATTCTGTACCTTCATTTCCCATCATCGACGTTCACCCCACTAACCCTACGAATGCCTTTCTTCTGGCCGTAGCTAACTATTTTCGTGACGAGGATGCATCAAACAGCGTGCTCCGTGGAGCGTGGCTCACGCGATATCCGGCAGATACTGCGGCCGCAACAGCAGCCGCAGGCTCGCTGATCGCAACCCTCCACGCAGTAATATCGAAACAAACGAGTCCAGGACAGGGAAGACCGTGGAAGATAAGCTGGATTCGGCATGAGACGACTATGGTTCGGTTATCGTTACCGACAGTTATTATATCATGTTACTTCTTGTGAATTAGGATGGGGACTAATTGGGGACGTCGAAAGCAGTTAAAAGGATGCTCTTTCGCATTTTCATTTTGAGGAGATTTTAATTTTAAAAGGGAAACTACCGTTTTGGTAGTAACAACAGGTGCTCATTTTTTGGGCGGATTACGCCCATTATACAGGGCGTTTCATAGCACGTGAACAATTTCTATGAAGGTAAGCCGTCGCAGATCATTGTAACACGAATGTGGCTATAGCTTTGGAACATGGTTAAATAGGAATCTTTCTCATCCTT